TTTTTTTAATGGAAAGAATGTTTCACGATCATAATTTCCTACTTTTCACCGTAGAATTAATCGTCAATCATTATCGTTAATTAGGTAAAGTCAAAAAACATAGCTGCGATAAATAAAGCAAGAATACTTATTCCGTTCATGCTTTTGTTGAAATTTTCTTCATTTTTGAAGAACTGATCACCATGAGATCATAATTCATATTGATGGAATTATAAGAATGATTATGCTGAACAAATGAATTACAAAAAGATTGCTTTGTATTTCTGATAAGGGTCATGTGTTTTCGAGTTTCTACCTAAACACGGTAAAAGAAGGCGACGTGGATGTATAAAAGTGACACGTTACCTTCTTTGTGACGGAATTTAAATGCAAACTGCATCAATATGATTAGGTATTTTTCAATTTAAACAAGAGGCGTCTTCGCCCCTACTGATTGTTTTGGAAACCTATTTTTCATTTTGTAGGGACAAGTTTATGTTTTCTCCAGTTTTATTAATTATTTTGTTACCCAATAATTTTTTTATTCATGACAAAAGACTTATATTAAAATACTGGTAAAATGCTATCAAAAGGTAGACAGTTATCATAAATCCCAATCACAAGTTCTAGAAAAACACATAGGTCAATCCCTATAAAAAGAAAACTTTTTTATGCTTTAAATAATCATTTTTGTGGTCGAAACATTGAAAGCTGACTTCTTAACATTGTAATAGTTGAGATTAATTTAAATGTATTAATAGTATTACTCATACAAACAAGATATATATCTTCTTTTAAGGGAACTCATAAGCTTTGTTACCTAGGGACGCACGAGTGAGTATCTCCTTTTAAGGGAACTCATTAGCTAAGTTACCTAGGGACGCACAAGTGAGGACAAAATGCGCGGTAAAACTTGTGTTAGTTTGTGATGACAGTACTAGAGGTCTGGAGAGTATGTGGCAGTAACTAATCTGGGCCTCATGAGGCCGGAGTGTTACAAATTAAACGTTGTTACACATTCAAAGAGTTAGGCTAACAATAATAATTTCAAAAATATGTATTGTTATATCCGCCCCTCTAACATTGATGCAAGAAGAGGTGATGCACTTATCAAGAAAAGTGAGTTTATGAGTTTCTTTTTGAATTTATAAAGTGAGAATAGAGTACGAACAATTTAAAACTACATAGACATTAGACAATGTCAAATTTGATATGAGACAATTTTATTCGGACATACGGGATGACAAAGGAGGCAGCGATAGGTGATAATCTTTAAAAGCTATCTTCTATTAGTTTAATAAAGGTAATATTCAAAGAGTTAATTCCCTAAATAGGACTAAAACAATTAACAAATGCACAAATAGGACTTTCATGTTTCATAGGACTAAAAATGCATTGGTTTGAAAAAATTACCCTTACTTATGTGCTAAACATATTTATTGATAAAAATTTAAATTAAAAATCCTCTTTACAACTCTAGATGCACATCCAGTTCCAAGAGTACTGCCGGCGCATTGAACCAAAACTGCCGCTGCCGCCTCCCGCCTCCCGCCGCCGCCGCCCTCCGCCACTTCCCACCGTCGTCTCTGCCCTCCGCCACTTCTGGCCGTTGCCGCCGCCCTCTGCCGCCTCCCGCCGTTGCCGCCACCAAACCAGTACCCATACCGCCGTAGCCACAAATCTAGCACCACCACTACCAACGCCGGTATCAACGATATAGTAACCAAATCTGTCATGGAGTTGGCAAAATGTTTAAAATGGGCTAAAAGGAAACGCTTTTGTGCCAAAAATTTGGCAAAATGTGTCAAGATTTTGGCATAATATGCACACAATATAAAAACAACAAAACCACATTTTAAAATGAAATTAAAACTTTAACGAAACAAAAAAAATAAAAATATGAAGTCGGCTAACATAAAACAGAAAGATTGATCGAATAAAAATGAAGATGGAAATGATAGTTTATAGTTTTTCATTAGATTTGGCAGTTTATCAAAACAAGAAGAATTCTTTCTGCCTCCCGCCGCCGCCGCCGCCGCCGCCCTCCGCCACTTCCCACCGTCGTCTCTGCCCTCCGCCACCTCTGGCCGTTGCCGCCGCCCTTTGATCTGCCGCCTCCCGCCGTTGCCGCCACCAAACCAGTACCCATACCACCGTAGCCACAAATCTAGCACCACCACTACCAACGCCGGTATCAACGATATAGTAACCAAATCTGTCATGGAGTTGGCAAAATGTTTAAAATGGGCTAAAAGGAAACGTTTTTGTGCCATAAATTTGGCAAAATGTGCCAAGATTTTGGCATAATATGCACACAATATAAAAACAAGAAAACCACATTTTAAAATGAAATTAAAACTTTAACGAAACAAAAAAAATCAAAATATGAAGTCGGCTAACATAAAACAGAAAGATTGATCGAATAAAAATGAAGATGGAAATGATAGTTTATAGTTTTTCATTAGATTTGGCAGTTTATCAAAACAAGAAGAATTCTTTCTGCCATAGTATAATCATCAAATCTGCCATAAAAGATGGCAATATTTTAAAATCTTTCTGCCATAGTATAATCATCAAATCTGCCATAAAAGATGGCAATTTTTAAAAATATTTCTGTCATAGTATAATCATCAAATCTGACATAAAAGATGGCAATATTTTTAAATCGAGGCCAGGGGAAACAATTGCCAAAACATAATTGTAAGTATTGCACAAAAATGCCAAAATTTTGGCAAAACACGAAGCCACATTTTCAAAATGGAGAAACCAGAATTTTAATTGGAATTGGAAAATTGATGGAATCACAAAACAAAACTACAAAGAGTGTCCAAAAATCAGAAAAATTTGATGCAATAACTCAAAAATTTAATGAAATCAGAAAAATCCCGAAAATTGATAGAATCCAAGAATAACATCTGAACTTTTAGACAAATCGGAGGAGGAGGAGGAGGAGGAGGAGGAATCGATGACAATGGTGCAGGACGAGGCGGCGTAGAGAGGAAGCAAATAGAGACGGTGGCGGTGATGGAAAACGTGCGGCAGCGCTGATCGGTAAAGGCAGAGCTATATGGATGTGATCTGAGGCGCAAAGGTGAATAGCGAAGGGGAGGCGTGAGATTTATCGGTAGAAGCCTAGGCTTTTACCGATAAAGGTAATCTTTAGTCCTATTTAAGGAATTATAAAGTTAAGGTCCTATTTGTGCATTTAAGTTTAGTATTAGTCCTGTTTAGGACAATTACGTACATTTAAATCTAAATATTAAAAAGTAGACACTAAGATGTGTTTTCTTATCCGACTAAGCAGTCATTTGATATCACTTAAATTGGCTTAATTGGTTGAAGCTAAAACTGATGAAATGCGGGCTTAAACGGTTGAATATGCTAACTATGGAAAAATTATAATTAAAATATTTTTATTGATAAAATAAAGACAATTTACAAAAATAACTAAAATAATCATCTATAATAATTTTAACCAATTCATCAAGAAAAGTAGTTTCAACCTTAACGTACAATTCAAGCATGAAATCAAAAGTTACATATTTAATTGCTGATAAATTAAAAATAAGAATTATCGAATGTGTTCTAAATTATAAAGAACAAAAATCTGTTTTACGGCAAGTTAAAATGGTTCAGTTCCATTTGATTTCAAGTATTGTTAAAAGTATAGTCAGAATTGAGCATTCGGAACATGGAGTATATGGATGTTTTTACTTGGACTGTATCTGTACCAGACCAGACCAGACCAGAACGGCAAATTACAATCCAACTAAAAACATCCTAAGTTCCGAGAACAATTAAAATGTCCTACATAGATTCACCTTATATTTTTTAATGACAATTCAGTCTAATTCAGGTCCTAGACTCCAAGTGAACTCAAGCCAAAAACTGATCCGAGATCAAAGCAATTATGAACCAGAACCATTCTAAACCAATTCTAACCAAATAGCTTGGCCTGAACCCGTACCGGTTTGCATTCTTTTTAAACGTAAAAATATGATCCAAAAGTCCAAAACTATAACGGTTTCAGAGCTTAGACCGACTGCCATCCTGGTTACATGTAGCATATCCCTAGGATTCAAAACCAAAACCAAAACCAAAACCAAATTTCCGAAACCAAATTGTGTCCACCACTAATTTTGATATAACCAGTTATGATTCTCATTCAGCGTTGTATCCAGAATGGTCTTTTTCCATGAATTACTTCTCTCGTCTCTTAAAACATTTCTAATTTTTTTTGGGTTGTCTCACTAACTTTTCTCTTCTGTACACAAATCTCAACTAGACATTTTTACTTTATTAATCCTCATGTCGGTCAAACTTGACAAAATTTTAAGGCACAAAGGATGTACTAAATTAAAATGAAAAGACAAAAATATGACTTACTTTAAAATTTTCGTAAAAAATGATGCATTCGGTGACTAGTTCTCAGTGACTGCGTCATCTACCTGTTATTTGTCACTCTAAAATATAAAAGGAAAAATTGATTGTAATAATCCCAACTATTGGCAGTTCGCTCATAATAATTTCAACTATTGATTATTTCAGAATAATCCCAACTTTGGGGATCCTCCGCCAATAATGGTCCGACGTGACTGATTGTAAATAAATTTCTATAGTTTCTAAATAGATATATCAAGTAATCCCTATAAATAACCTCAATTTTTATTTTTTACGCTTAATTTCTATTAAAAACTCACCTATTATAGCGGGTAATATCTGGTCATGGATCATTATTGGCGGACGGTCCATATAATTGGGATTATACAAAAATAATCAATAGTTGAGATTATTGTTAACAGACCGACAATAGTTGGGATTATTACTTTCAATTTTTTCTATATAAAATAGTAACTCTTGTCCAATTACTCATACACATACACAGTGACTAGTCATTTTTTATCCAAATATATAATTGATCATATTTTTGTTCGGAAAAACTTTATTTTACTAATATACATTTCATTTTCTCCCATTAATTATGTCCTCCCTCTGAATGATTCCGGCCTTAAAAGCCCATATTAAGAAAGGCGGATTGCATTTTCTCTTGAAATATAATTCTCATTATTCTAGCCAGAAATAACCATAGCATAAAACCCCGCTTAACAAATGAATAAACCAAATAATTGGCAAGTACCAAAATTGTGTACGCCTAGAGAAAAGGAAAGCTATTGTTATTTACGCAATTACACCTAACAATTTACAAGTGAATAAAATTTTGTTAGCATATGAAGAAGTTCCACTAATGAGATCGCCGGTCAAACCCCACATTGTCACCAAATAAATTCTTATTGCCTGTCCAGAACACAAAAAACACAGGTCTCGTTAGAAATGCCAAAAGCAAAAAAAAAAAAAAAACATTTGCACTACTTGAGGATGAATTTAATATTACCTTTGCTTAATCATGTCAGTCACTGAGATGAAAATGAAGATGAAACCCGTTCGGATAGTAAATCAATTAACCAATTACGAAGATATGTATAAAAGGAGCTAATATAATGCAGCTTTCTCAACAACAAAAGGACAAGAGAGCTCTTCCTGTTGACAAATACAAACACCATGAGCACAACTCCCTACATGGAATGGTAGAATCCTGATAACAGTGTTTGGGTAAGCAGTACACTACTTTTGGTAATATAACAGAAAATGAAAAACAATGTCACATAGGGCACTGGTAAAAATAGGACAGTTTCTAGCTTGAATAAAGAAGCTCCAGGTCTGTTAACTAACTCAAAAGAGAAAAATGGACAGTTTCTAGCTTGAATTATGTTTTTAGCATTGTACGCTTTTACCAAATTCTCCATTAACAACTTATTAGCCGTAATGGAATCATATATGTGATTTAAATATCAAAAGGATTTATCCATCAAATTGAATGGTTTTTGTAATTTAGCCCTCTTTCTAAAGAAAAGCCTTGATGCCCTGGTTAAGGTGCTGCTGTGTGACCTAGAGGTCATGGGTTAGTCTTGGGAGTGGTCTCTTGTAAAAAATTGTCAATGGAAGGCTTGCCCCTACACACCCTTGTGGTGGGACACTGGGACCCTTTCACGGACCCTCACCTCAGCAATTTACTCAAAAAAAAAAGGTTGGGATAAGGGTCAGATAGGGCCTCGAACTCGAAAAAAAATGTCAAATAAGGTCATATTTAGGATGCTCTGTCCGGCCGACGCCATTTGGGGTGGTTCCCGATGGAATTTTTTGATGAAATTTTTTGAGCATCTTCCTCATTAAGTCTAGTTTACTCATACCAAATTTCACCTAAAAATGCAATCGGGAAGGTAGTCAAATGATTTTCCGAAATGTACGGGGTTGTTTAACTTCACAATTATCTTCAAAAAATCATTTGACTACCTTCCCGGTTGAATTTTTAGCTGAAATTTGGTATGGCTAAACTAGACTTAATGAGGAAGATGCTCAAAAAAATTCATCAAAAAATGGCATCTGGAACCGCCCCAAATGGCGTCGGCCGGACAGAGCATCCTAAATATGACCTTATTTGACATTTTTTTTCGAGTTCGAGGCCCTATCTGACCCTTATCCCAAAAAGGTTCTATTAAGATTTGTCAAATGTTGTCTTAACGGACGCACATTCTATTCAAGACACTTTTAGAGAGGAAACACGTACCAACACTCACTAAATGCATTCACTAAAAGAGTATTTTATTGGCACCACTTCATGTGGGGCCCAGAAAGGAATGTAACATAGCTGTATATCACCAAGCTATGTTCTTCATCTTGTCATACTATAAAGCATGAAAAAATCATAAGCAAGTAATACTGAAAAATTAATCACCTTTGGGATACGGTCCAGCCGAGCTTTGAGATATCTTCATGTTGGATAGCTTTGACTTATCAGAACGATTCAAGTACGTGTATTAGTGATATCTTGAATTTTGTCAACTGCATCTTGGATGCTACATATAGCCATTTTTTTAACCTGTTTTGATGGTTAGTCCATTTGGAATTTGTAAAACATTTGTCAACAAAAGTCATTGCAAAAACAACAAATGTAAGACCCGTGAAACTTGCCTCCATCAATTTCTTTTTGGCTTTGTGATGTCCTGGAAGGAGCCGGATCTCATCGGTCAAACGGATGCACTCAGCAGCACTTTCGGGTGATAGAAAGTTCAAAACAATGTTGACACATGACTGCATATAATAATATTTTTTAGACATATAAAGGCAAGATGTAATCATACACATGGAAAACTTTCCTTCAGGCATATACAGCAGGTTTGGTATTGTTGTTATGCAAAGTTGAGCTGTGAAAAAAAAGTGATGAACTCTCTTGTTTATATCAGTCTCACTTTTGGTAGATGACTTCAATATTTTCCACTTTTGGTGGATAACTATCCATTCCTTTCTACTTTGGTCCTTTTAATGACTTACCTCTGGTTGTTTAAAATCCACTAGGGAACCTAAAACAAAGACACACATATAAGAAAAATTGTCACCTTAAGTTGTCGCACTTGATATGGGCATCCAGCTGGCACGGTAACAGCTTCACCAGGATGTTGCTCAAAGGTCCATGGTTGTACATCTAACAAAATTACACAAGGAATCACTTAAAAAACTGGAGCAATTACATAAATCGATGGTTGAAGAAGGTCGGGAGATTGAATCACCGAATTCCTCCTTAAGCTTCAGTTTATGATACGCATCCAGAAAGAAGCATTGATCAAGAATTGGATGCAGAACCTGTGATGGATTCACATACAACACACACAAAATTAGATGCTTCTTACATATTTAAGGGTAAGTTTGGGTCCTGCAAAGTACTACGTAGTACTACATTTTTTATTTCCCTCCACATTTATTTCCTTCCATTTTTCTTCCAATAGTATTTTCCAGGATCCAAACAGCACCAAAATCTATGGAGAAGTTTTTTCTAGGTAATACTTTTTTAGAGTAACAGCAAGAAGAGGTGAACTCCTTAGAGTGCTTCCCGAGATATTCTAGAAGTTTTGGTACATCTTGTCGGCGGAAAATGTCCCACTGAGCCCCAGAAATTGCAGTCACTTTTTCCATACAACTTTCGTGAAAGGGATCATCATTTTCTGAATCTGTCAATCTGTCAATTGATTCAGAGCAGAGAATTGAGATGTCTGAATCAGATCCTGCATCACATTCACTATCAGTAAGCATATTACTTTCCTCCAGGACCGTTTGGGCTTTTGTGTGCGAATCAGCCGAGTAGAAGGGCACTTTGGCAATTGCATCAGGCAACTGGCCTTGTTCTGCATTCACATCCTGCAAGCCCGACTCATCGGTATCTTCACTCTGTAGGGATGATTTTCCTCTATGCTCGGTAGAAGTGCTTGTAGTTTCTGTCTGATCCTTCATGTGAATCTTCTTTTTCATTAAAGTTTTTACTTTGCAAAGCTGTTCTTTAGAAATGGGTGCATCAGCAGCATATGCTAAAATGTTAACCTGGGACCAAATCAAGAAACAAATTGAAATGAATCAAATACTTACAAACTGTAAAACTGGTGATACTTGTAAATGACAAGACTTTATTTCTTCTTTCTGGTACATAAAATACAAGGAAGAAAAATAACTTCTATTTTTGCTTCAATTATAGAAAAAGCAAAGTGCAAGTACATGTTTCCATATTGGCCATTGTAATATATGTTATGGATGCTTTCTTACCACCATTGACAATGCCAAGCACAGGTTAAGGAACCAGGCCCCTCAACAGATAGTGGGCCAAGATCCATTAAAGAATAAGTGGCTATAAAATTAAAAGAGAGGCACGTTTTGTTCTAGATGATCTGTGATCCAAAAGTTATACAGATCAATTAGGAGACTATTACTTTATTAGTATTCCTATAATCCTATTACAATAGGACTAATAGTACTCCTATTACAATTATTTTATTAGTATTCCTAATTTCTCTTACAATTAGGACTCTTTTAATAGCTTCTATATAAGGGTCATTATTATTCAATTTAATCACTTTTGAAAGAATTAATTTGTGTGTCTTGAATAGGTCGAGCATTGAATTAATTCCAACATAATATTCTAATTTAATTCGTAGTTAAATCATAGATGCCTTCCCAACGGCTTACTTCCCTTCTTGTTCCCAGGCTCACTCCCCTCCCTGAATGAGGTCTTCAACAGAAGTCAGAAATACTTAACATGATGCTCCCTACATCCCAAAAATGACTTTGCACACACTTGGAACAGATATTAAGACAAAAGCATCTTCATTCTAATCCACTCATTTTGTTACGGTTCATCGTTAAAGAAAAACATTTTTCTGACTTCTTATTTACCATTTTAGGAAATGGGACAATAACAGTGGGTGGGTGACATCATAAATTGGAAAAAGTGACATTATCTATGTGACAGATGGCTTCTATACTAGTTGGAACCTTATTCTTTTACAAAAACTACAAATTTTATCCTCTACATCCAATATAATGAATGTCCTTTTGTGTTTTAAGAGTATGAGTACCAACCACATCGTATGGCTCAAAGCAAAGGTTAGTAGCGAATTCAGTTCTCACGAGCTCTTCAGACCCACCATATGAAATATAGATTGAAGGGCCAAGGTCAAGTGGTTGTGTCTCCCTTGGTACATTCAGAGCTAAATTAAGGGCACCAGATTTGGGATTCATATACTCCTGGAATGGCAACGCTCGCATGATTTCAACGTAATAGAGTGGAAACTGTTCTTCAAATAAATAGGGAGAAAGCCATGCTCTAAGCTTAACCGTCTGCTTCCTAATAGTTGCCTGTGTTTGCCATTGCAATGAGCCCATAAATGTCTTCTTTGTGGCAATTTCTACCTGCAAGCATATATATGTAAAATATAAGTCAATTTGGAAACTTATGTCCCCAGGTTATGTTAGCTTTGATATCTGCTAAGACTTGATGTGATAGTAGACAATATACCAACCTCACACCAGTCCAAGGAATCTGGTGTTCTTTTTGCCTCTTTCTCCTTTGGAAACTTAGACCTCTTCTCAAGATAAGTGCAGAACATAAAAACAGGATCCCATGACAGATCTGAAGAACTTCGGAGCACGCTTCTTACAATAACAGGATGTCCCTTCCCCCAATACTTGTTAAAATTTTCAAATTGAAGATCCTTCAAAATTGGACAGTACAGAAAGTTGTCATTCGAATCGAGCCTTTGAGCCATCTCCATGAGCAAATTATTTACTGCAGTGTCATTATTATCAACTTCTTTAGTTTCATCAAACCTTCTGCTGCTGCATAATGCTTCCCGAGCACTAGCTTCTATCTCTTTAAGCCAATTGCAAGGAAACAGAGATCTTAATTGAAGAATACCACCACTGCAGCCACCAGATTCAGTAGATGGGCAAGATATGCTGACATCACCATCATCCACGCCAGAAAAAGATTTATATCTCTGCCGAAGGTCAGAGCAGCAATTGATGCAAAGTAGAAAAGAGCAGCTTGAGCAGCTGCGATGGAAATCTAGAATGGAAGTCTTACAATTACTGCTGCTCCATATTCAATTCAGTGGACAACAATGAAGAAGTAATTAAGAGCATTACTCATTTACTCATCAACAACAATACTTTCTAGTAATACTATCAAGGAAAATTGCAAAATCAATCCCAAAACGTTTGGTAGACATATTTAATCATGTATTGTAATGAGGTGTCAACTTTTGTTGTAAATCGAAAACTGCGCAATGTAAGAATTTTTTTTCAAATTAAATTTAGAGTGCTGGAATTTCATTTATTTTGTCATAAAAAATCGACTAAATAATTTCTACCAAACCTTAAAAAAGCAGGATTACAGTAAACTTCAAGCGAAACACATGCTGCTAGACAATTTTGGATGCTTCAGATGGGGAACTATTTTTAGTTTTTCAGAGTCTTCATATATACACACATCAGCCGAAAACGGTCAGTCCCGTCAAAATCCCGAAATTTGTGTCATGAATAAGGTCAAGTGAAGTTTCCCTGCAAATTAAGTGTATCTGAAAAACATCCTCTAGTCACACATTTTTCAAGTTGTAGGGACCTAAATCATCACCATCCCTAATTTATTGAAATGATTTTGCAATTTTCAAGTAATAAAACAATCAACTCACCAGCAATATGAATTCTCAAAGCCCATTGTAGCGTGTTGTATCTGGACTATGGAATATGGTTTTCCTATTCAATATTTAAACATCATGGCTAGATTCAAATAAAAAAACATCCAGAAATATTACAAGGATAATGTCAGAAAGTATACCTGTTGTGTTAGCTTCTACCTCCAACTCAATGTACTGGTCTTGGATAATCTTTTCCAGCACTGGAAGAAGGGCATTGACCAGATAATAAAGCAAACGACTTTTTCTTACCTTTTTCTTATCCCTATAAAATTCCTGAAACCGGCATGCAAGAATTAGAAGGGCATAGTTATACACACACAGATATGTATACACACACACTTCCTCCATCCCTGAAGGTTTGCCAACTTTGACTGACACATACACATTAAGAAAATGAAAAATGTGGTGTTGAGATTTATCTAGATGAGAGATAAACAACACAAACCACAAATTGATTTCCTTACAGGAAAAGTGGACCAAAGTTTTTGGGGACATCCAGATTAGGAATGTTTGCAAATCTTTTTAGGATGGAGAATGTATACACAAACACACACTGAGTAGCTAAAAATTTAACAAAATATTCCCTTAAAACAAAGACCTTGATGTAGTTGGTATCCTTGGGTTTTGATTTTGTGCAGATTCTGCAGTTGCAACAGCCACGGCAGACAGGGCATGAACCCTGAATTTCAAGCCTCTCGAGGTGCCTAAAGCAACTCAAACATCAGATGCTTACAAGAGTTTCCTCTCCAAGATATTGTGGTAAGTTTTGAACCCAAAAACAAAAAGAAATAACAATAATTGTGGCACTTCAATTGAGTATCACTACGTATATTGATATTAGTTACACATATTTGGTAATTCAGGAGCAAGAATCTGCAGGCACACCCAGAAAGATTAAGACTAGAAAAAAGGGAGGTGGAATCACAAACCGTTCTTTAATACAATCTGTGCAAAAGAATTGCTTTTTGCAACTTGAGCACTTGATTAAAGTCCTGTAGTTGGTTCTTCTACACCAGTGGCATTTCTTCCTCTTAACTTTCCTCATATTCTTTGATAACGGCAGAGCCTGGTAATATCATTGAGCACAATGCACCACATCATACTAATATCAGTTGTCATCAATCGAAACAGGAGATACAAAAAAAGAGAGACACCTACCTGCATTGTACTGATGGGAAGTGGTTCAATATTCTTTGACCGAAAATGTCTGGCTGAGAACGGGCTCAAATTCACTCCCAATTTAATGTTAGAAGAAGAACAGGTGGAGTTGCTAGGATCATGAGAAGGCAAATTGGGAATAGCCATAACAGCATTGGGTAATTCACGAGTTAATTCGACCGAGTTCTTCAACTCTTTCTGTTTCCTCTTCTCTACTTGCCTTTTCAAGAAAACCCGAATCAGCTCCAGTGGCAAATCCCCTCTCTTCAGCTCCATCCTCTTCAATGCCTCATCCAAAGCCTCCGAAACGCAGCGTTTCCGCTTAGAAGCCTTCAATTTCTTCTTGGAGACCCCAATTTCGCCGCTATTCTTGATCTTTATGTTCCTCGCCCGTTCGAATTTGAGAGAATCCGGGACCTTCTGCTTCATCTGCCGGTGGCGGCCCTGCATGTGGTGAAGATCGCAGAGTTTCTTCCCTTCCAGGACGCGCCGCTTGCACCGCCATTGCCTGCCATCGGTCCGTTTGCACCGGAGATCATCCGGCAGAGGGTCGTTCTCCGACATAGCGTTCACTGCACGTGTATATGACCGTTTCAAGATTAGGGTTTTGTTTATACCCAGATTATAAATGCACTGAACTGCGAAAAAGGGGACTTCGAGAGTTCGAGATGGAGAGTCCTATGTTGTCTTTGGATGATGATGAGTTTTATTATACCCAAGTGGAAGGGCATCTAATTACCCCAGAAAGTGCCCCTCAAGTACCCTTTTTTTACTGTACGACCAGCCCAAGAAAAGCCTCCTTCTTGATCAGTAATTCTGTGGTGCCCCTCTCTGAGCATGCTTATGTTTCAGAATTCAGAAAGATTTAAATGACCAGTATTTTGGGCAATTTTATTTTAGCCATTGCAATTATCAATTGATTTGGCATTTAAAGCAGCAACTTTTAACTGATTTTTCAGATTCTTGGACTATAAAGAAACAATCTTTGTTTACTGAAGATGTTTCAAGTCACCTCACCACTCATTGTATAACTACTGCTGCTTAAAAAAATTGGAATGGTTGCTTTATTTGTTGAGTAGGCAACTCTGCATGTATTTTGTTCTTGGCACCCAAACATGTGGTTGCTAAAAGGTAACACTTCGTTCCCCATAATAATTAGGACTAGGGATGAATAATCTCAGAGTTGTGAATTCTTCGATTGATTAATGTAGGGAATGAATAATTAGTGTAAGGGTCAAATAAGGTCCTCAATTAATTAGATATAGTTTGAAGAATGAATAAAATATAGTGTAAGGGTCAAAATAATTTAGTAATTCGACTTATATATGCCTATGAATTTAAAGATTTACAGATAATTTTTAACTTTTGGGTCGAGATCATTAAACCGAACCAAAAATCATCAGTCAAATTAAACTAAAATATGAGTAATATTTACTTCCTAAGGAAATACTCCGTAGGAAACAATGTAAGTTTTGGTTGAGGTTTTGATGTGAGATGAAACAAAGCTTTAGTCATGTAATGAATTGGGATGATGACCAGAAAATGGAACTGAGAGCCCTAGTTAGCTTTTTTCCGTTTAAAACGCGTTTTAAACGCGTACTGTTTTTTTGAACAAAAAAACGCGTTTAAAACGAAAAATAATGTAGGTCCGTTTAAAAAGGAAAAAAACTCCTACTTCCCGTATAAAACGTATTTTTTCCGTACTTTACAAAAAATAGAAACATGAACTGATCAATTGAATTAGTGCATTAAATGCATAAGAGATCAACATCAACAATGGCTTAAAAGCAAAAAGGAAAACTCCTCCTCGTGACCCCATGTTTTTGTATTGTTACAATGCAATTATTAATCACTAAAATTATTTGCATGGTGGCTAAAGCTAGCTTCCCAAAAGACCAAAAGTTGAAAATATTATTGGAATTATGATGTTTTCCAATCAATCATATCAAAATTAAGGATTTTCTAAACCTGACATATTCTTAGTATAAACTTTTACACATAAACAATAATAAGCATAGCAGTCGCGCACAACGTACTTTTATATCATATGTCATTCATCATCTTGATGAAAATCGATCATGAGTTTGACTTGAGTGTTATTTGACGATTATATAAAGACAATGATTTTAACTTAGTCTCATTCTATTGTTATTATTCCTCATTCTTTTGACTTTATTTTGCAAAATTATGTCTTGAATTTAATTAGTATTTTTATTTTTTGATCAACTTATGAAATTACAAATTATTCTTTTATGTGGTAATGAGATTTGAATATGTGTATACTTTTATTTTTTTACTATATATCTTATTTTGTAAAGTATATACTATAAATGTTCAAAATAATACCCCGTATTTTTTGTCCAAATTTTTGTAACATATACCGTATTATACACGTATATGTATTCACAGGTTTTTTAAAAGTCAACGTATTTTTCAACGAATTTTTGACCGTATTTTTCATTCTTGTTGCCGAATAAAACACGTACGTATTAAACCTCGTTTAATTCCCGTACCGTATTTAACTAACTATGCTGAGAGCATTTAAATTCATGATGCGTTATTATTCAATTGGGCTTCCAAGCATTTTTAATTGGTATCTGGTCCTATATGTGAAGGACATTGAGTTTTGGTTATTTCTGAATTGATTTCTTATTTAGATTTAGATACTCCGTATAATTAATTAGCAAGTCTACAAAATCACAATATACAACAGACATGTCAAATATACACAACAGACATGTAGCCTTTTGCACACAAGTATTTGAGTAACATGTTCGCTCTTTCTTATGATTTTCAACGTACTGATAGTCTGATAGAACCTAGGTGTGGATAAAATCAACTTACTAGATCCTAAGACACTAAAATGGAATTCTACTAAAAATTATTAAACTACTAGCAAGGTCATGAAATTCTACTATAATTGATTAAACTACTACATACAAATGTTGTCGAAAAAAATGCCAGTTTTGACACAAAATGACATTTTTTAGTCGATCTGGTGTAACTTGGCTGGGCAGTAGCCGAGACTGTGGGAGAGCCATCCAATTTTTTTTAAGGTGTTTTATCTAATTTTTATTTATTTTTGAAGTTTTTTTATTTTTTTTTTCATTTTTAGTATTTTAGTATTTTTAAAAATATTTTAGATTTTTGTTATAATTTTTCACGATTTTTGTATGAGTTAAATTATTTTTTATTGTTTTTTGTGTTTATTACAAATCAAAGTATGATTATCTTATGGTAAGGATATAATAGGTAGATATGATATACTTTAGTCATATTTTGGGAAGATAACTAATAGTTTATACGGAGTATAGTTTTATTTGTAATAGTTTATATGTAATAGTTTTATTTAGGTAGATATGTAATGGTTTTATTTGTGCATTTAGGGATTTGTTTAGTCGCTATTAACTCATATAGGGAAAATACTCCGTAGTTGTGTTTTACACTAGTCTACGTATAAAAAATTTCATTTTTTTTCGGTTTTTCCATTTTTGAGTAATTCGCTTCAATCTCGGATGAGTAATACCGTACGTAATTACATAGTACTAGTGAATTGGCATCTATCGCAATTTGGAGTGTGACCAATTAGCCAAAGTTATAAAAGCCACACTTACAAACGGGTCTACGAAGAAAGAACGTAAGAACTACGTAGTATAAGAAGTGTGAACCGAACCCACTCCTATTAAGAAGTGTGACATACATCCGTTCATATATGCGCATGCTTTTTTGTCCTCATAGAAACTACAAATGTAAGTGATTAATTTAGATGTTGATTTGTGTTATATTACCTTGTTAATTTTATAATGAGTGTGAAATTGGAAAAATAAAAATTCAATGGTTGAGATTTGTACCGATAAAAAATAAGAACAGAATTACAAATTCTTTATTTTAAAAGAAAAGTAGGAAAATGTAACTGTGTAAGTACAACACACAAGTGCTTGGAAAGTTGGAATTAACTAGATAGGGAGTAGTAAAACAGTAGTGGCTAGGCGCAGCCTGATTCATCCCGATATACCAATGCAATATTTGCCATAGAGACACGTAGAGTCATCTTTTGACCCACACTTTCTAGGGGGCTAGGTTCAGCGGGCGGCTCCACGAATTCAGCATTGCAGTTACTAACTTCACCAAACCCACTGAAGATACAATCTCGGTCACCACCACACCTAATGACCTCGTCAAAGCACGACGGCAACCCAAACACTATCTCAGCAGATTGATAAAACTGGTTACAATTAGTGTACCTCAATACCATTTTTGGGTCCTTCTCTTGTTGAAGCAGAGAAGTTGAAATATTTTGTGCAGTTACTGTGGTAGCTATCAATAGCTCCATACACTCTTTTCCGATTTCACCATAGCTTGAATCACTGGTAATGCGCGATTATTAAATAGTGATGCATTTATCTAGAATATTCTATGTAGAAAAGGCTAGAGATGTTCTAGAGAAATATAGCTACAAGTATTCTAGAGAATTCTCCACTAGAGAATTCTTATGTAAAATCTAGATTAATTAGACATAGTTGTAGAATACTCTAGAATCATAGCATTTAATAAGGATCTAGAATGATCCTCTAGCACCTATAAATAGGACTCATTGTACTCATTTGCTCATCAAGCAAACCAAGAAACATCAATACAATATATCTTTTCTAGAGACAAGAGCTCTACTCTAAAACACCTCCTCTACACTACACCTCACTAAAATCACTTAACATATTCATATACCAACAACCTCTTCTATTTTCTAACAAGTGGTATCAGAGCCGGTTCGATCATAAGCGGGCGTTATGGCGACATCAAGCTTCTCGGTATCGACTCCAATATGTTCAATGGAGAAAGCTACGACTATTGGAGTGTCCGTATGAAGACTTGCCTAGAGTCGCATGATCTTTGGGACATTGTTGAAGAAGGAATCCTCACTCCGGAAAAAGGAAGCGACGACGCATCAACTTCCGAGGTATGTAAGAAACAAAAGCAGCAAAATGCTAGAGCTCTCTATCTTCTTCAACAATCCGTTAGCGATACCATTTTCCCGAGAATAATTCGTGCTACTACGGCAAAAGAAGCTTGGGATATTCTTAATGAGGAATTTCAAGGAAATGAGAAAGTTAGAACTATTAAATTACAAAGTTTAAGAAGAGAGTTCGAAAATTTGAAGATGAGAGATTCTGAAATGGCAAAAGATTATTTCTCTCGGGTTATACATATAGTTAACGAAATGAGAACTCTTGGAGAAAACATAACCGACGAGAAAATAATCCAAAAGGTCTTAATCAGTCTCCCTGAAAAATATGACCCAGTAGTTTCGGCTATTGAGGAGTCAAAGGATCTATCAAAAATGTCCATCACTGAATTAATGGGGTCGTTAGAAGCACGTGAGCACAGGCTGAACAGACGACATGAAAGTTCATTAGAAAGTGCCTTCCAGTCTAAGCTCAACATTAAAAGGAATGACTCAAGAAATGGTGGAAACTTTAAACCTCATAAATATGGGAATTCTAACAACAAGGAGAGGAAGACAAACTTTCCACCATGCAAAATATGCAAGAAGACTAACCACTTAGAGAAAGATTGCTACCATCGAGGAAAGCCACAATGCAAAAATTGCAAGAGGTTCGGGCATGAAGAAAAAGATTGCAGAGATAGAAGAAATCATCAGGCCAACTATTCTGAAGATTTCAAGGAGAAGGAGTACATGTTCTATGCATGT